ACCTCGGCCCATTTCCCCAACCCAATCCACGGACACCACAGCCGAACAACCCAACCTGGCACCCAATACTCACCCAATGCAAACCCGCTCCAAAGCCGGTGTCTTTTGTCCCAAACAAATTCTCAATCTTAACACCTCCGCCACCATCTCCCCGTTACCTCCAACCTACCGTAGTGCACTAAAAGATCCAAACTGGCATGCTGCTATGTGTGATGAATATAATGCCTTGATAAAGAATGACACATGGGAATTAGTACCCCCCCTCCCCCTCACAAAATCTCATCACCGGTAAATGGCTCTTTAGACATAAATTTGGCCCAACCGGTGAGTTATCCAGGTACAAAGCCCGCTGGGTGGTTCGTGGTTTCAACCAACGTTTTGGTGTTGATTATGACGAGACTTTCAGCCCCGTTGTCAAGCCTGCCACTGTTCGTGTTGTCCTCAGTCTTGCTCTGTCTCGAGGTTGGTCCATTCATCAGCTTGATGTCAAGAATGTGTTTCTTCACGGCCAGCTGCAGGAGACCGTCTATGCCAGTCAGCCTTCTGGGTTTCAGGATCCCACTCGCCCTCACTATGTGTGCAAGCTCAAGAAGGCTCTATATGGTCTCAAACAAGCACCCCGATCATGGTTTCACAGGTTTGCTTGCTTCATACAGACTATTGGGTTTAGAGGATGTAAGGCCGACACTTCTCTATTTGTCTTCTCTCAGCCCATTGGCACGACCTATCTACTACTTTATGTGGATGATATAGTTCTCACAGCATCCTCTCCAGCACTTCTACAAAGTCTCATTCAGCAGCTCAAGGCTGAATTCTCCATGACTGATATGGGTGATCTGCACTTTTTCCTCGGGATCAATGTTCACCACACAGCTTCTGGTCTCTTCCTCCACCAGACTCAGTTCACGCACGACATCCTTGAGAGGACAGGGATGGTTTCTTGTCGGCCCATCTCAACCCCGGTGGATACAAAGGCGAAGCTTTTGGCGTCAGCTGGTACGGCGCTCTCCGACCCCTCCCTTTACCGATCCATTGTTGGCGCGCTGCAGTACCTCACATTCACTCGTCCTGACATCACATATGCAGTCCAGCAGCTCTGCCTACACCTCCATGCCCCGCACGACGCTCACTTTACAGCCATGAAGCGTGTTCTCCAGTATCTCAGTGGCACCGCCACTCATGGCATTTATTTGACAAGATCCGCCACCGACTACCTACAGACTTATTCAGACGCTGATTGGGCTGGCTGTCCTGATACCAGACGTTCTACTTCGGGTTACTGCGTTTTCCTCGGCGACAACCTTGTCTCATGGTTTTCTAAGCGCCAGGCCACTACATCTCGCTCCAGCGCCGAGGCCGAATACAGGGCTGTAGCGAATGCTGTTGCTGAAACTAGCTGGATCCGAAACCTCCTCCTTGAGCTCCAGCAGCCACTCCGTCGCGCCACACTTGTCTTTTGTGATAATGTCAGTGCGGTCTACCTTTCATCAAACCCGATACAGCATCAGCGCACCAAGCACATCGAGGTTGACATACATTTTGTGCGTGATAAGGTGGCACTCGGTCAAATCCGAGTCCTGCATGTTCCGTCATCTTCTCAGTTTGCCGATATCTTCACAAAGGGACTGCCCTCACAATTATTTCTTGACTTCAGAGAAAGCCTGGGTATCCGACCCCCAGCACTGCCGACATAGCTGGGAGCATGTTAAATAACTTAGTGCCTGATACCATTCCCATGAACCCTACATTTCATCACTTCTATGATCATGTTCACATTGAGTTCCACGAACGTATGGCTTTGTAGTCGAGTCGTAATTTATACAGTGAAACTCTTTTAGTAAACTCAACCACCACTATACCAGAACAAACTTTAATCATTAATTACTCTTAATTTGTACTGCATACTAATACAATGAAATAAAATTTTAAAAATTTCAAAGAAGAGAGATCCAATTATATCATTCCTTAGCAATTATTAGTTCCCTAGGTAGTGTATTAATTCTTGTGTCAAAGAAAAAAAACACACTTCTTTTAAATAAATTCCATTCAAGCATTTCCCTAATTTATCAATTGTCAATTACTTGTAAAGGTAGATTTGAGTGTGGAACTTATAATCTGAAACCTCAAAACCTTGATACTAAAGGTACTAGAATTTGAATACCCAAAAAATAAAGTTTATGAGAATATAGCCTTAGCTCCTGTAAAATCACATGGAAAATTAGAAGAGAAAGAAAGGAGTTGTTAATAAGGCAGGTAAAATTTGGGAGAGGGAGCTCAGCACATTCTTGAGAAACATAAATTAACTTACAACTTATCAAGCATCTTATGTTGTCTGAAAACACTCAATGGAACACACATGTAAATATATATATGTATTGCAC